TTATTACAGTACCATAAAATGCTCTTAAACTATGAAATGTTTCTCATGAGTGTACACCAGTTTGTGCTTTGCCTTTTTAAGGAGCTGTTGCTGTTTAGCTTTAGCCTCCCAGCAGCCCATAAGCATGGACACACACACACACACACACATACACACACATACACACACACTGCACACACACTCAGACTGCACACACACTCAGCCTGCACACACACTCAGCCTGCACACACACTCAGCCTGCACACACACATCACTCTAATTGTCATAAGCCAGCAAACAAGAATCTGTAACTGGTTTCCTCAGAGCGCCTGTGGCGTTTGAAAATTACTCGTTTGAACCTCCTCGATCTTACCTTAAGCCAACCACTCCTACACATCCAAGTCTTCCAAATTGATATATGACAATATCTACTTTCGATCACGTGTCTGCGGGGCGACTTAGACGGATTGCGCGTCATCTCGCCTTCCCAAATTTTTCCCTTCTGCTGCAGCTCGAATCCAAAACATCTATCTATAGTGGCGAGCGCGAGGAGAGAGACTAAGATGTTTAACTCGGTGAATCTGGGCAACTTCTGCTCCCAGACGCGCAAAGACCGGACATCCGAGTTTGGGGACAGGACTGGCTGCGCGTCTAACATCTACCTCCCCAGCTGCACCTACTACGTTCCCGAGTTTTCCGCCGTCTCCTCGTTCCTCCCGCAGGCCCCGTCCCGGCAAATCAGCTACCCTTACTCCACGAATCTGTCCCAAGTGCAGCCGGTTCGGGAAGTTTCGTACGGCTTGGACCCTGCCGGGAAATGGCACCACAGAGGCAACTACGCGTCGTGCTACTCGGGAGAGGACCTGGTGCATAGGGACTGTCTCCCCCCATCCACCATGACAGAAATGCTCATGAAGAACGAGAGCGTGTACAGCCACCACCATCACCATCACACCCACCCCGGCTCCAATCACCCTTCCACGGGCTTCTACTCCGGCGTGGGCAAAAACAACGTCCTCCCGCAGGGTTTCGACCGCTTTTTTGAGACCGCGTACTGCGGCAGCACGGACAATCAGTCAGACAATTGTTTACAAAAAGGCGAGGCGGGGAAGCTGGAGAACGACTCCCAGCAGCAGCAACAGCAACAGCAGCAGCAGCAGCAGCAGCCGGCAGCCTCTGTACCCGGAGCTCCGGAACAGGAAAAAGACCCGGACGACGAGGAGGAACACACGAATTCAGGCTCCTGCACTTCTTCCTCCGCGGCAACCAAGGACGGGAACAAGAGCAGCCACTCGAGTAGGTACACCGAAGCTGTAAAACGGGGGGAAGGTTAAGGGGACCAGCCCGATGTTTTGTCGGTCAGATTTTATGTGGAGTTTTATAAGCATTCAAAGGATTTTATTATAACCCTACAAAGCTCTTTCTTGCAACGGGAAGAATTTTTACGATGGGGAAAGCGCTTTGAAAAAAAAAGGAAAGAAAAGGAGAGAGGGATGTTATACACAGAGAGTCTGTGAAATTTTTAGAGACAAAGCTATTGTGACAAATGTTAACTTTGATCGTGAACTTGCGTTGGGCATTTTAAAGGGATTTTCGTGTCGGGGCTGTCGTGTGTAAAAACAAATTGGGCAGAACATTGCTTTTGGCGTCTTGTGAATCATCTTGTGCGCAAAAAGACAAACTGCGAAGAGTTTTAAGCACAGAACGGTCATTTATAAACTCATATCTACCCACCCATCTATCTACCCATCTACCTATCAATACACCCATTTATCCATAGAGTTCAGCTGATGCTATATCTGCAGATGCTAAATCCCAGAAGCAGCTAAAAGAGCGTCTTATTTAAATATTTRCTGTTATTTCCCTGCACAACTTGCTCCAAGCGATTTATATTACATGCAAATACTATTAGACATAAAGTAATACATTTTACAGACCACAGYTCATATTTAGCTTCATGTAGCTCCTGCAGGGTGTGGATAATAATCTTATCTCAGACTGTTTATGCCCTCCTCCCCCTCTCTCCACAGAAACACACACACACACTCACGCGCACACATTTATAACAGTATAACAAATGTATTTCCCTGGTCACCTGTTTGATAAGGAGTTATAGGGCCACGGAGGGTCTGCACAGGCCACTGCAGACAAGGGCGATGCGTTCACTGCCAGCAGATTGTGTAAATTGTTAGTTTAGCTCCAGAGGAACGTGGCGCACATAATGCGGACGGAATACTTTTTTGTTGTTGTGTATTTACAACAGATAAACACGTACTTAGGAGGCTGCAAGTTGATATTATTTACTCCCAGGTATTTTGAATATTTAACACTCTTTATGGCTGCTTTAATCTGATAGCCTCAGCTACTTCGCCTGATGAATGCTGCATGAATTCTTAGCACCTGGCTGCACTATTTTGTTGCCATCCTTCCTTCCATTGCTACTATAATGTGTTTTGTTTTGTTTTGAACCTGGGCTCCATTTTAATTGTATTGTCTTTTATTCCCAGGCGTTCCTCGGACAAGAAAGAAGAGGTGTCCCTATTCCAAGTTTCAGATCCGAGAGCTGGAGCGGGAGTTCTTCTTCAACGTTTACATCAACAAGGAGAAAAGGCTCCAGCTCTCCCGAATGTTGAACCTCACCGACCGCCAGGTTAAAATCTGGTTCCAGAACAGAAGAATGAAAGAGAAGAAGCTGAGCAGAGATCGCCTTCAGTACTTTTCCGGAAATCCCCTGTTGTGAGCCGAGAGAGGGAGAGAGAGAAAGAGAGAGAGAGAGAGAGAGGGAGAGAGAGAGAGWGTGTGTCACACAGTCACAGTCTTGGACAAGTGGCATCAAGGCCTCTCCCTCTCTCATTAGTGAAGTCTAATCGTGGGCTTGCTTTTCTTTCCTAAAAATTTAAAAAAAATAAAAATTAAAAAAGCAGCCCATGTCAGCGAGAGTGCAATGTGAAAAATGGACAAGTGGAAGAAAAATATATAGGCCTGCATGGTGGGGATGATGTCGCCATTTTCTTATTATTGCCACCCCCTTTTCCACACGGGACGCGATGAGAAAGGCCTACAGTGGTTAGAATTAAAAAAAAAATCACCATTTATACGCTGTTCTTGAATATGTCCTTCTATTTATCTCGTTTCTGCGTTGTGTTTACTGTCCGTATAAACATATTTGTGTAGCAAACCAATCCTTATTGCGCAGACAACTTTTAGCTCTCATATACTCTGGTCTGTGTATATAGCATATCAGTATCTAATTATTTCTCGACCAGAGCATGGACAAAAAAATAAAAAATAAACAGAAATAAAAAATAAATAAAAAAGACWTGAAAATAAATATTTCCAAGCTGCATTTTTTTTCCGCCATTGACAAACTGTGACGTCCAATCTGTGAAAGTATACTCCCTGTATGTGCAGAGTAGCCTATGCAAAGTGCATTTGAAACTGTAAATATAGGCGTATGATGAATCTTTCTTTCTTTTTATTTYCCTTTCTTTTTTTTCTTTTTAGCCACCCAAATCTTTGCTGCTATTTTTTTCAGCACACTGCCCATAAAACCTTAAAATAAGCTTTAACCTCTCATTAAATTATTTGCTGAAAAAAAATAACATTGGTGCTTTAATTGATCAGAGACCGGATGAAGGGGTTTTCGGCTTGTGTATCATTATAATATCTTAATAAAAAGAAACATATAGGCAAAACTTTAACTGTGTGCTTTTTGTGCTTTTTTTTAAACAAATTTGGACTCGGCGCAGTTTTATTGATGCTTGTTAGAAATAGTTCATAAATGCTTTTATAACCCGAATCTATTGGCTTACATGGGCTACTTTACCTGCACACTTTTTGTTTTACTGTGTTAATGACCGCTACACGTCCAGGATACGGCGACAACTGCTAAACTAGTTGTTTGCCGACTTAAACTTGGCGCATTTTCTCCAGTTTTTCAGCTCATAACACCTTCTTTAAAAAATCTCTCTTCCAATGTTTGCACGCGCGTTAAACGAAGTTACAGCCCAATGCAGATCTTAGAAATGTGCAGCGCGAGAGTGCAATGATAACCCCTCTGTTTTAGTGCACACTAAATGGAATCGCCACTCTCGGAGTCTAGACACTGCCATAAAGACAGAGGCACTAAATGGCTATTTTTTTTCTCTTAATTGCACCGTCTGTTCGGGGGGAAATGGTGTCCACTTCCGCAGTAAATAGTAAACAAATAGGAGTCCGAAGGAAGATGAGGAAAAACAACCTTTTCATTTAATTTTGATTTTTAATGTTGACAGGAATTCGGCATTGTTCAAACGACTAAACCGGTTATTTTGTGTATTCGTGTGCGCGCGCCTGTGTGTTTGAGCGCCTGTGCAGTTTATTCATATATGTTTCTGCATATGCGCACGATGATTGCACGTGCGCATTAAGTACAATGTATAATTAAATGTAGTCTTTGAACTTCAATAATGTCAAGGCCTTCACCTTTAACCCGCCGCAATAAAGCGGATTCAAGGAGCCCGGAAATGTGCGCAGCAGCAGAGTGGACCAATGAGAACGAGTGGGAACAGAAAATGGAATGCGCACCGAGGTCAACTTTGACCCCACGCATTAAACTACAACAGGTAACTTTGCCAGCTTTAGCACGTCCAGTAAATACACTTTATTGTCACTTGTAAAATGTATACGTGTTCACGCATGAAGCCGTTTTAAAACGTGTTGGGAATTGAGCTGATTTGTATTCTATTAGAGAAGAAAGAAAATTATACATATGTAAGATTTTTAAAGTGAACTGTAGCTCAGATCTTGGAACACAAACATATGATCAATATTTAAAATATCATATAAATATATAAAAATATCATGTAAATATAATAGGATAATTTCCGAAAAGTCTCCTGTTGTTTTTATTTGTTTATTTAAATATTCAACAAAGGTACTTTTTGACATAAAGAAAATCTGAGTCTGAATTGAACATGGGTGATTAGTTTAAGAAAAGAAAGGAAAACAAGGAAACACTTGTTGTGCTCCCCCTTTTGCGCCTTAAAAAAATGCATTTTTACGCGCATGACTGTAACATCCAACTTATTGTGCATGTGTGAGTGCATCACCGGGGAGGACGGAGGGAGGAGGGGAAGGCGGTGTAGGGGGTGTGGTGGTGGTGGTGGTGGTGGTGGTGAGATGGGGGAGCAGCTCTGACAAAAGACGCCGCACACAAGCCGAGATCAAGGCTACAGGCAAGCCTCTCTCTCTCGCCACACCTACCAACCTTGGCCCTGGGACGGTGACGTGCGTAATTTGTAAGTTTCTCCAACACCCAACGTCACTAACAGAGAGCACTGCAGGGTCCTTCACGAATGTTGTTCATCAACCACACGGGGGCCGCGGAGTCTCCCGGCCTCTGTGCTGCTGTTGGTTTCTTCTGTACGGTGGAAGCTTTAAAAAAATAGCGTCACGTCAGAGTAGCAGCACTAGTGGTCGTGTTATCAGCACATCTCGTTTCCGGTGTTGTGGAACTGAAGTGCAGCTTTCCTCGCTGCTGGAATGCAGTCTCAGTCCGGCTCCTGCACTGTTATTACTGAGAAGTAAAATGGCGGCTTGTTTTGGCTTGACAGAGGCGGGGAGGGATCAGGAAAAAAAAAAAAAAGACACAAACTACGCTTTATTTATT